GATCAGCACTAAAGCAAAAAAAGCAATTTAGAGTTTCACAACTATAATATAGCTTTTTTAATGCGTTAATAAAACTTATTAATGTATTTTTAGTATATACGTACGTACGTACGTACATACATAATTTCAAATAAAGTTTACATAGCGATGCATACATCTTATTATGGAATCAATATTCGTCGAACTTAAAAAATCTTATAAATACAACCCGAATATGTTAAAACATTTTTGGGGCATTCTCAGAGCTATCAGGCAACTCAACGCAGCCCAGCTTATATAGCGCATACAGCGCATATAAGATAATATAAAATTTTTCCATGAAAATCCTTTCCGCTTTAGTCTAAAAGGAAATGGGCAGATCATGAGAAAGATAGCAACCAATAAATAAGATGGCTATCGCAAATTATAAACTTCATTGGAAGTGATCTGCTGCATACTGACAGAAAAATATGAGAGGGGGTTAAAATCAATATTTAAAATTTTATTAAAAAGATTTAAATTTTTAAAAAAGTTGTAAATTTGCCTGCAATACAATTTAAAAGATAATAACTATCTAAATAATATAAAATAAATTATAAATATAATAATATAAATTAAAAAATAATATTAGGCTAATATAATAAAATAAAATAAATTTACACTATACTACTCCTACACTATTACAAAATCTATTTTGTAAAAATCAAACACCCTGATAGTGATGGCAAAACTGAATAATTTCTATAAGTTGGGATTTTGTCATTGTGTCCAGGTCCTTGAGGTTTAGTTTATTAGTACAGTAGATTTGATCATACCCAATTTGGTTAAAAAGAAAATGGACACGGTTCCAAACTTTTCTGCGACTATCACTTATTTCTACTTTTGCAGCTTCTTCTCTATTTTGTATCAAAATTGCTAAATAGTAGGCATAGCCTAAAATTTGGCATTTTTTATTATTTATAATAGCTTTTTTATATTTTTTCTTGGTTTCATTATAACAGTCAATCCATGGTTTTTCAGTTGTCACAGAAACATCTACAGGAGTAATTTCATGAGGTGTTGTATTTAAAAGATCAATTTTTAATACATCAATTCTACTCATTTTATTAGTAGCTGTGGGTAAAACTGCAGGAATTTGGCAGGTCAGTATTCTGAATAATTGTTGTTCCTGATAGTTTACAAATAATAGTACCAGAATATTAAAATTGAGTACAAAAATGTTGAAGTTCTCTAGCCTTTTGGTAAATTTCAGTATTTATCCAGGTTGGTTTGATAAGTTGAGAAGACATTTGTTAGATTGGTTTTGTAGTTTTTATCCTAAGTGTTGTTGGTTTAATTTGAAACTTGTTGTTAGAATGAGGTAAAGAAAGTAAAATTTTTGTTCTTTAAATATATTTTAAAATGTCTATTCATGTTATAAAGTTAAAATACTTTTTTATTTTATTTAACACATGCTTGCTTTTTTGCAAATCACCACATACTAAAATTTGTTTTATATAGTATTTATTATATTTTGTAAATTACTATATACTAGAATTTTGTTTCATATAATGTTTATTATGTTTTACTTTTTGCAAATCACCACATGCTAGATTCTGTTTTATAGTGTTTATCATTTTTTTGTTTATCAACACATGTTAGAATTTATTTGCAAATCACTATATACTAAAATTTTGTTTTATATATTGCTTATCATATTTTGCTCTTCATAAATTGCCACATGTTAGAATTTGTTTCATGTAGTGTTTATCATGTTTTGCATATCACCACATGTTAAAATTTGTTTGCAAATTACTACTGTATATTCCTAAAAATAAGCTATTCCAAAAATAAACCACCCCCTCTTTTCTTGGAAGAGAAATATAAGAAATTTTTTATTCTAAAAATAAGCTATCCCTGATAATTTTCTAAAATTCAGAAGTAGTTTCTATATATAAAAGTCACAATTCTACTAAGTAAATCAATGAAAATCACTTAATAGAAGTTATTTAGAATATAAAAATATATATATTTTGAAAGTTTTAAGCAAATCAGAGAAATTTTACTAAGATGCTTTTGCATTTTACATTTGAACTTAAAAGGTAAAAACATCTTAGTAAAATATTCTTTACTTTCAGAATATGTGTATTTGTATATCCTGAACATTATTAATTTTTTTTTTTTTTTTATAATTCAGCAGTCTTGCCTTTACTTGAACAATATTAATTAAGTGACTTTTATCAATTTACTTAGTAAAATTTTAACTTTTATATATAGAAACTACTTTTAGATTTTAAAAAATAATAAAAATTAACTTTTGAAATTGTAAGCTATTTCCATAATTTTTATATCACTTTTTTACCCAAAAAAGGTAAATTATTTTTGAGAATATACAGTATATACTAGAATTTTGGTTTATACAGTATTTATTATATTTTATTTTTACAAATTACCACATACTAGAATAAGTTTCATATAGTATTTATTATATTTTGTATCTTACTACATATTAGAATTTGTTTATAAATCACTATATACTAGATTTTGTTTTATATAATACTTATCATGTTTTGCTTTTTGCAAATTACTACATGCTAAAATCTGTTTTATGTAATGTTTATTATGTTTATATATTACTGTATATTAGAATTTGTTTGCAAATGACTATATACTAAAATTTTGTTTTATATAATATTTGTTATATTTTGTTTTTTGCAAATTACTATATACTAGAATCTGTTTTATATAGTGTTAAAGAAGATAAAAAAATAAAAATAATAAGAATAGTAGTGAAATTATGCAACAAAAGATACCACAAAGCTAAAAAAAGGTTTACTATAAGATAAAGATAATGCTAAAATTCTCAATAGGTTAGAGAAAGACAAAGGCCTTGCAAGTTTAAAAATAGAAGATAGAATAGATTTACTAAGTATTGAGAGCCTCAAAAATTAGTTAAAAATATTATAAAAAGACTGGCAAAAAAGAATTTTAAGAGTTGAAAAAGCCAAATCAGAGAAAAAATAAAAGAAGTAAATAGTTTAATTGTTACTAATCAGCAAAAAATGCTTAACAGTTTCTAGACCAATCTTGCAAAAAATCAAAATTAATAGAGTTGTTAAAGTGATAGAAGAAAAAACTAAACTGCTTTACAAGCCAAAAAAGATACTCAAAGAGATCAAAGAGTATTTTGAAAAATAGTTTTACAAAAGAAATACAATATATTTTGAGGCTATACTACAAAGATAGAAAAAGCAGTATGCTTTAAAAGAAGATATAAATGAAAGATTCTACTGACAATATTAGCTTAGCCAAATAAGAGCAGGCCCTAAAACAGGTTAAGACCAAATAAGCTCAGGTGTAACAGAGATCACATATCCACTGATTAGAAAAGTAAATACAACTACAAAAAAGTTCTTTCTCAACTTTACCTTTATATGCAAAAAAGAAAGCAATATGCCAAAAAAGTAAAATCTATGCATATTATACTAGACTGAAAACTAGTGTTATAATTTAAATAACATATAATCAATTTTACTACTTGAATCATTTTGGAAAACAGTTGCAAGAGTTATTACAAATAGGCTAACAAAAATTTTGAGTAAAAAAAAGACACTCAAAGGCAAAAATTTTGCAAGCCTATTGAAGAGAGCATACCAACACAAGTGCATCTTATTAACTGCATAGTAGAAAAGACAAAAAAAAGAAATATAGCTTTTATTTCAGAATATGAAAAAGATATTTGATTCTGTAAGGCTAAAAATGCTTAAAATTGCACTCAAAGAATTACAATTCTGGAGCCACTAACTCACTTTATTATAAACCTCTTCAAAAACTATGAAATACTAATAAGCCTAGAGACAATACAAATATTTATAGCCAGGAATAGCATAGATCAAGAAAAAGCAATCTTATTTTTTATATAAAGAATATTCTACAACCTCTTACTATTAGAAATACAAGAAAACAGCAAGTGGGAGTACAAGCTAAAAATTAAATAGCTAAGTAATTTTAGTAGAAACTGTATATACAAATAAAGTTTAAGAATTCTCAGTTATCACATATGCTAATAATATTACCTTTTAGTAGCTAGCAAAGAGAAGCTTGAAGAAATAATTAGTTTAGCTCAAAATTTTACAAGGTTAATAATATTAAGATTAATAGTAAAAAGTCTGAGCTGCTTGTAATAGGTGGAAAATAAACAAAAGAGCCTAGATATATAGAAGTAGGCATGCCAAAGGTGTAGGTATTTGAAAAGAAAAAAAAGTGAAATAATGAGATTCCTTGGTATATTGCTATCCAAAAACCTAATTAGTCACATATTAAAAAGAGATTTACATGATTATGAAAGCGATTTATAAAAAGAATATCTCATTAGTATAACTAGTCTATGTTAACAACAGAGTCCTTTTTCCAAGACTAGAATACAAACTACAACACTTTATAATTTTAAAAGAGCAATGTGATATACTATATAGCTCTATTTTAAAGCTTATTAAAAACAAATTTGATCTAGCTAGTAGCAAATGTGATCTTAGTATATAAAAACATAGTTGGCCTTAGAACAATTTGGCAAAACCAGATAGCTCACCACATTACTAGTCTGAGAAAACATATAAATAAATATAACAAAATTAGCAAAGCTATATAAATAGAGTACAATAAGCCCAAATCAACTATAAAAGCATATAGTATATAACAAGTTTAAATTTAGCAAGGCTTGAAAAAGTTAAGCTAAAACAAAACCTCACTTACAATATTGTAACTAGGGTTCCTTAAAGTCAAATCAAATCAAATATTTACATATTTGAATTTTATTGAATCAAATAAGCTCTTGATTTGAATTTGATTTGATCAAATCAAATTCAAATCAAATCAAATTTATTTGTAATTTTTATTAAGTATTTTCAAATCGAATCAAATATTTTATCAATTTGAATTTGATTTGATTTGAAATTTCTAATTTGAGATCAAATATTTGATCAAATCAAATAACTGAAGCTAAAAATATAAATATAAATATAAGATTAAAAGAAAAAGAAAAAGAGTTAAAGCTCACAGAGTTAAAAATAAAAATTATAAACTTATTAAACAATAAAGCATGCAAAGGCTTCTTACAAGAAAAAGAAATAGATATTTTGATTATAGAATAAATACTAGACAACACAAAACAAAAAATATTAATATAAAGCTAAATTAAAAAATGCAATAAGCAAAAAGTCTTAGAGAAAACTCCACTTTGGTTCAAAAAGTTAAAAAAAAAGCTAATTGAAAATCCAAGTGGCAGAACAATTGAAATACAGTTGAAGAATATACCAAATAGGAAAATTAGGAAAATTGAGTTTTAGAATAATCTGTATATTAAATCTTGAATTTGATTGGCTCTTATGCCAACATTTTTGAAAAATTTTTATCTATTAAATTTATTACAAGAGGTTTACGAATTAATGTATTAATAGATAGTGAAAGACAAGTAGAATATATAATCTACAATAATTCACACTAGTAAACTTTTGTCAAAAAAGTAGATGAGACTCGAAAAACTGCAAAATTTTATATTGCTCAAAGGCTAATGATAAAAACTCAGGTACCTTATTACACTTTTTATTGACTAGACGAAGTTTACAGAATAGGTTAAAAAATATTGCAAATGCTTAATATATCTTTATTTATACTAGTTTAGACTATAAGCATTACTTACTAGCCAATTTTACGATATACTAGCACAACTTTGATTCTGAATTGTCTAAAAAAATAAAAATGATTTAGGTATTTTTATAGAAATATACCCTATGTTGTTTTAGAAGTTTTATCAGATCAAAAGCTTATAAAAGCTGCTGACATTTATAGTTTTGAAGTTATTATGTTACAGACAAAGACTATTTGATAGTTATCAGTTTAATTATGAACCTGCATTAAGTATTTAACTAATATTTAAAATTTATATTTTGTATATAAATTTTTAGCAAATTGCTGTAGCATGCACAACCTTGATTACTAGCTAATAATATCAAGGAAAATGTTGAAAAAAACCCAAAGATAAGCTATTTTAATTTCATCTTTAGCATTTTATAATATTTTTTTTAAATTTTTTTATTAATATTTTTTTAGATCGTGTCAGGTTTA